TTGCAATTAATTTACATTAAGTGAAACAAAAAAAAGACCCAACACAATTTTAAGCTAGTGGTGTATTTTCTATTATGTCTACCATCATGTGGCTACACCTTTCATTCATTAAGGTAATAGCACATATGGAAATCACAAATGTAAAACAGATTAGCTTAAAAAACCCCACAAAATAACTGTAAGCATAACATTGCAATTTTCTGCTTCTGTTGTATTGCTTGACCTTATTGATAATGTGGAATATAATCAAGAAACTCTACATGTGTCTTTTCGCTGAAGCTCTACTACAGATGCATTTCAGACTGAGGCAGACCCTGCCAAAGCTATGTCTTGACTGCTCGCTGTTCCCTCACTGATGTAGTTTCCCCTGCTCATTACTTTTTTTCTCATTTCTAAACCCAGCTGTTAATTGCTTTAACCTTTAGTTGATTCCCTTGAACTCAGGAAATTTGCATTTTATTAAAACTAAGCTAACCACAATTTTAACCTCCATTCTAATTAATGCAGTTATAACACTGTAAATGAGATTTTCAAGAATATTCAGAAATCGGTCTAACTCTTACATGTAAATTGGTCTAATTCTTACATGTCACAATTTCTGAAAATCAGATATATGGTATTGTCATTATAATGGGGTCTCCTTCTCAGAATTGCATGGCTACCATCGCCTAAGTACCATATTGTAGTTACTGCTTTATATTATTTAACATGACATTCCATAGTAACTAGAATTTAATATCAAATCTGGTTTTGGATGTAAGAATATTTAATCTATACTTACTTAACCCATTTTATTTTGCCTAATTGATACAGAACACTGTAGGAAAGACTATCACAGCCAGGTATTGCTTTATTTTAGTTTATGCATTTGCAATAGTATTGGTAAAATTAATGCAAAAAATGCAAATTAAGATCGAGATATTAACATGCCAAATTTGGATTCTTGTGTTTTCGGCCCCCTAGGAAAAGATATGACTTAGGAGAACTTACACAGCAATTATTCTACACAGCTGTCAAGACATTTTACAAAGATCCTTTGTAGATGGGGAGAGTGAAGTATGAAAAAGCAACAATTTTTTTTTTCCAGATTACAAACTATTTAAGGAACAAGACTGGACTAGAAATTGGTGCACATTTACAGTGAATAGTTTTTGGTTTGAACTAGGTCATCAAATTAGATGCATCATCACCCAAGGGTCTCATTATAGTCAATGGCAAAAGACTAGCTGAATAGCCTCTTGGAGCTGCCCATTAAGTACAAGTATCTACAGAGCCTACGTTTCTTTCTTAATGTCCCAATTAAAAATTTAAGGGTAGGTAGAATGAGTCTCAGTAATCCTGCACTGTGGGTACCTTTCAGCTCCAACGCGTGTCCCAACCACATTCTCCAGCTCGGAAGTAAAGCCTCTCCCTGCTTCCCACCCAGCATATCTCTGTGAAACGAAAACTAGATGGATACCACAGTAGTTTTTCTGCGGTATTCTGCCAGGAATAGCATAGCTATTGACATTTCCAGACATGTGTGTTCTAAAGTCTCCAAGCTAAGGACATTAATCTGCATGAGGCTGTAATGGCTGCGAGCGGAGCCACCAGGCCAACAGGAAAGCGGGTGCTCGTACTTGTGTTTGCATTTGGGAGCCTGAAGGAAGGGAAGGACTGCAGACCCAGCATAGTCATGATGCAAGTTTGGAAACTGTTTGTCTAAAAGCAAAAGCTTCAGTCAACGCTGTTTCTTCATCACTGTTTTTTCTTAGCAGACAAAAAAAAGGCACATTTTTGTTCATTCGAATAAAGAATCTAAAAATTACTTTTTTCAACTTTGGTTTGCATTTGTGAGTGGGATCCCACATTCAAAATGTTTTCACTGTCATTTTACTGTATTGTCTGACTTATATTTGATTCACCAGTAACTCCTTTTCAAAATATACTTCCTTCTGCATCCCTCAGTTAAATATGAGTTGCTGGTCCCATGTAGATTTGAACAGCATTAAAACAGAGCTATTCTCTAGATTGCTACTATGATTCCCATGCTATTTGATAAATTTATTTACTTGGATGGAGGATTTAAAATTCAGTGTTCAGTTTCCTGTTATGACTGCTACATCCTAAATTATTAGATTAAAAAAAAAATTGCCACCATCACTGCCCTCTGTAGCAGTTCTGTAAATCTATGAAACAGTTTTATTGCAAGTGCACAAATAAGTAGTGTTCCAATACAAGCTGAATGAAGACTTTGCTCTAGCTAATCATGCTTTCCCTTTTTTTTTTAGTAAAAAACTTGGGGCAATACTGTTTAGGGACAATCTTTACAATGAATATATGTTTTTAAATATTTGGTCCCCGACTTGAAGAAATCAAATTTTCACATAGCATTAGTAAAAGATAGCAAAGTGCTGCCTTCTCAATTTTAGACGAGTGAAAGAGAACTGATCATATATAGCAAGAACTTCTAGCAGGAAGATATTAGTAGGAGCCACATCTGATTGGGACCCTGTCTCCTGAAAGCAGAACATATTCCACTAAAAAGCATGTCTGCTCCTGTGAGACACCTTCTCTATCAGTGAGTTACTATTCCACCATTTTTTTCTGCCAAGACAGTTAAGAAGCTGGAAGAACTTGAAGTTTTAGTTTTTACAAGAAAATGACTGTCTTTTCCACTGTCTTTCACAGATAGAGATGAAAGAAGTGCTATTTAAGCTAAAAGGATGATGCTGACACAGGAACACACAATGCACGTGGGCATAAATCAGCGACAGATACGTTTGTGATGAACATTAGAAAGTGTTTAAGCATAAGAGAAATGACATCCTAGAAAAGGTTTCAAAAAAACACTTCTAGCGCAGGAACAGGCTTTACAATATTAGTAGCACAGCCCGCTATGAGATCATGACTGCAGTTTTTAGCAATTAAGCAAGTAAGTAATTAGAAAGCTTTGGCTGAGACCTCACTGTTTAGATTTTTTAGGTTTCTAATACTGGAGCTGTTAACACATTTTCATATTACAAATATGTTTGACTGCTTCTGGTAGCTTGAAGAATAGCAGGTCTCCAACAGCGGCACATTACCTGGCAATGCTCAGAGCTGTAAACTATGTTCCCTGACCTGTCATGCTATCAGAGATCAAAGTAAAACATCATTAAGCTGAACAATTCACCGATGAATTCAAAAAGTGAGTATGTTTTAACATAATAGCAGTGACCTTAGTCCACTGAGAGTCTTTGACAAGTGCCACTGAGATGTTAGAGAAATTATGAATTATGTGTCTGGAAAGTTATATCTCAATAAGAAATATCGTAATCTTGAGGCATTACTATATTGTAAAAAGGATTTTTATTCTGCACTTCTGCATTCACAGATCTTCACAGGGAATGTGAAATAAAGAAGTAGTATGAAATTACTACTTAATACCTCAGTATTAAGCATTACTATGCAAAAATAATGGCACAGGCAGGTGCCAGTGAATTTTTAATTATCACTTAGAAGCAGATCTTTCATACCATAGGTAGAGGTTTGGTAGGTCAGCACAGTAAAAGAAACCATCCTGTCTTAATATAAACCTTCAGTTTGGAAAATAATTTTTACTGTCCTTTTGCAGGTGTAAGGAGGGGACCTACGGACACGGGGCTGGAAGAAACGCAGCCCGCGGACCCGCGCCAGGACCTCCTCACGGCGGGGGGGAGGGGAGGTGCCGCCCCCCGCCTGCCCGGTCCTGCCTTCAATAAAATCTTGTGCTTCCACAGTATCCCAGAGAGGTAAGGTTTACAGGGAGGGATAAAGTCTGTCAGCCTCAGTGATGAAGTTGGCAAGAACAGGGAAGTTTTGGGGCACAACGTCCTTTCTAAAGCCTGGTGGGAAGTCACACAGTCCAAACCAAGGGAGGACTGATCTCCAGCGCTTCTCATTTAATACTATAGAAATGAATTAAAACACCTGACAGAAAAAAAAGTTATCAGTGATTGAAAAGCACGATGTAATAAGGCCTAAAGACAGTGTCTCTATTGAGTCGGTGATGCTCAGAGTTCAATAGTCACAACAGATTTTCCATAAGCCCACGGTCTGGGTGGTGACTGCTTAACACAAGCTTGCTGTAAGAGGGCACTGGAGCAGCTCTGCAGCCCGGGCCAACCCGCACCTTTGTGCTCTTGCCCGCTGTGTTTTCAGGGGGAAAAAAAGCCACGCTCAGGACAACTGAAGCAGCTGGAGGCAGGGAAACTTGCACCGCCGCGCCGCGGAACGCCCGCCGCGCTGCCCGCGCCGCCCGCCCGGATCCCTTTGGCTGGTGCACCGCGGCGGCGGAAGGAGGGCACTCGCCATGGTGCGTGAGGCGGCGTGGCGACGGGGCATAGGGATAG